TCTCGCCATTTTATGGCCCCAGATATGCTGATGCGACGCGCCTGGGGGCAGTGTCGCACCAGCCCTCGCCACTCCTTCGGCCTGCGCAGAGCGAGCCATTGGCTGTGGCGCCTGCCCCCAAGGCGGCAGTAGTTGAGTTTACTCCGCCTACTATTGAACAGAGACCAGGGACTCCAGGGTCCTCGGGTCTCAAGGCCTCACCCCGCCAGGCGAGGCCCAACCTTCGAAAAACCAGCTCGCATGAGCGGGCATCCAGTGCCTCCGAGGAGGCAATGGATACGGCGGCACCCCTGGTGCCAAAAGAACGGCGTGGCTCTCTGGAGCGCGCCAAGAAAACTAAAAAGCCCATAACAGGGCCTGACAATGGCCCTGGTACTTGAGCTTGATCTTTCAGCTTAAACAAGTCACTCCCTTAACGTACACACAGCACTACTTTACTTCCAATATGGACACACAAATTATACATTGGAACGCCAGAGGACTGCTTAAGAACCTCGATGACGTACAAGAGGTTTTATACAAATACTCACCTTTAGTGCTGTGTGTACAAGAAACACACCTAAAATCCTCCAATACAAATTTTTTATGCTCTTACGTCATATACCGAAAGGACCGAGATGATGCTGTGGCGTCATCCGGTGGCGTAGCCATTATTATTAACCAAGGAGTAGCGTGTACACATTTACCACTCCAGACATCTCTTGAGGCGGTGGCTGTTCGAGCGGTACTTTTAAACAAACTCGTCACCATCTGCTCTTTGTATGTACCTCCCCACCACCGTCTTGAAAGACGTGAATTTCAGTCTTTAATAGACGAACTACCTGAACCTTATTTGCTTCTTGGGGACCTAAATGCACATAGTGGACTGTGGGGCGATTCTCGCTGTGATGCACGAGGTCGTCTCATTGAACAATTTCTCTTCTCTTCCGGCGCCTGTTTGTTGAATAGGAAAGAGCCAACCTACTATAACGTTGCCAACAAAACTTACTCGTCTATAGACCTCAGCATCGTATCACCTTCACTTCTACCCCTATTGAAATGGAAAATCATAAACAATCCATATAGAAGTGACCATTTTCCTGTAGTGTTGAGTTCACAAACAACATATGAATGTCCTCTACATGTTCCCAAATGGCTGATAAACAAAGCAGACTGGGAACAGTTCCACAACACTACACGTTTGAGTTGGACAGACATATGTAGGTTAAACATAGATGAAGCTGTGAAGTACTTCGCAGCTTTTCTAACTGACGCAGCAGCCAGGTGCATACCGCAAACATCTGGAATGCCCGGCAAACGACACGTCCCATGGTGGAACACGGAGTGTCGTAATGCGCGAAAGGAACAGAACAGGGCATGGAGATTGCTGCGCAACTCGCCAACAGCGGAAAATCTTGACACGTTCAAGAAAATAAAGTCTCAAGGAAGGAGAACGCGTCGGCAGGCCAGAAGAGAAAGCTTGCAGAAGTTTTTGTCAGGGATCAATTCATACACACAGGAGGCAAAAGTCTGGAACATGGTCGGTAGGATAGCAGGGAAACAGGTACACACACTTCCACTCGTAAACACTCAAGGTGATACCTTGGAAGCTCAGGCAAACTTCCTCGGGGCACACTTTGAACGGGTATCCAGCTCATCCCACTATACTGACACTTTCCAAAAATACAGAACAAGAATAGAAAAACAGAAACTCGAACACAAATGCACTAGATACGAGGGATATAACCAAGATTTCAGTCTAGCTGAACTCCGAACATCTCTAAACTCCTGCAGCACTTCTGCCCCAGGTTCTGACCGTGTGGTGTATGAAATGTTAAAAAACCTACCAGCCGAAACACGAAAAACCTTACTTTGTTTATACAATGCTATCTGGTTTTCTGGCACTATTCCTACCTCCTGGAAAGAGGCTATTATTATTCCCATTTTGAAAGAGGGCAAGGACCCTTCTTTAGCTTCAAGCTATAGACCTATTGCACTTACAAGCTGCTTGTGCAAAGTCTTCGAAAAAATGATAAACTGTCGACTTGTACATATCCTTGAAACAAACAATTTGCTCGACCCATTTCAGTGCGGGTTTCGAGAAAGTAGATCCACCACAGACCACCTCGTTCGTATCGAGGCACAGATCAGAGACGCATTCGTTCATAAACAATATTTTCTCTCTGTGTTCCTCGATATCGAAAAGGCGTATGATACAACATGGCGTTTCGGAATTCTAAGAGACCTGTCCCACCTTGGTGTGCGCGGAAGAATGTTTCATATAATTGAAAGTTACCTGTCAAACCGGACATTTCGTGTCCGTCTAGGCAGTGTGCTCTCCCAAACATTTGTCCAGGAAACAGGCGTGCCACAAGGTGGTGTGCTTAGTTGCACACTTTTTATCATCAAAATGAATTCTTTGCACTTGTCCATTCCCCGCATGATGTTATATTGTACATATGTCGACGACGTTCAGCTTGGCCTCAACTCATGCAACTTGGCCATGTGTGAGCGGCAGGTTCAGATGGGTTTAAATAAGGTCTCCAAATGGGCAGATGAAAACGGATTTCGACTTAACCCACAAAAAAGCACGTGTGTCTTGTTCTCTCGAAAGAGAGGCATGCACTCGGAACCTGACATTCGGCTGAACGGGCAACGTCTGTCCGTCAAAGCCGAGCATAAATTCTTAGGCTTAATCTTGGACAACAAGTTGACCTTCGTACCGCACATCAAGTATTTAAAAACAAAATGTTTAAAAGCCATGAATGTTATAAAAGTGTTGTCACGTACTACGTGGGGTAGTTATAGGCAATGCCTCATGAACCTCTATAGAAGCCTTATTCGTACCCGCTTAGATTATGGGGCCGTTGTCTATCAGTCTGCCACTCAAAGTGCCTTGAAGATGCTGGACCCCGTGCACCATTTGGGCATCCGCCTTTCTACGGGTGCTTTTCGCACCAGCCCCGTAGAAAGCCTTTATGTCGAGTCAAATGAGTGGTCGCTTCATCTGCAGAGAACTTACATGTCCTTTGTTTATTTCCTTAAGGTGAAAGCAGACAAGAAGCACCCCTCATACTCTACAATTAATGATTTGTCGAGCTCAACTCTGTTTCAAAACAGGCCTTCGATGAGGCAGCCCTTCTCAGTTCGCCTGAAGTGTCTAGCTGAAGAAACTGAAGTGTCACTTGAACACAGTTTAATGGCTCCTGTAGCATACCCGCCACCGTGGCAGTGGCAGACTATAGACTGCGATGTGTCTTTCCTAGAGGTTACAAAACATGCACCTATTGCCCATATCCAAACATACTTTCTGGAACTTCAACACAAATACACATCTCCTGAGTTCTTCACAGATGCCTCAAAGACTAACTCCTGTGTGTCCTACGCTGCTGTCGGCCCATCCTTTTCGGATGCTGGCCCTCTACGTCCACGCACAAGTATCTTCACAGCGGAAGCTTACGCGATACTGGTGGCAGCTAAACACATCAAACAATTACAAATACAAAAAGCAGTAATTTATACAGACTCCCTCAGTGTGGTAACTGCTCTGCACAGTCTTAAAAAACAAAAAAACCCAGTCCTTGTCGCACTTTACTCCATTTTGTGCACACTCTACACGCACAAACAACATGTTGTAGTGTGCTGGGTGCCAGGGCACCGTGAGATCAAGGCAACGTGAGGGCGGATCAGCTCGCTGCATCCGTCCATGAGAGCACCGCCATTACATTCATATCAATCCCGGCCCTTGATCTTAAGCCGTCTCTCAAACTAAACCTCAGGGACTACTGACAGAGCAAGTGGGATACACACACACAAAACAAACTACACGTTATCAAGCCACACCTTGGCCATTGGCCACCAGTATCAAAATCACGTCTAACAGAGGTAACACTAACAAGACTCAGGATAGGGCACACATACACGACACACACACATCTTTTATCCGGTGGTGACCCACCATTGTGTGATAAATGTGGTGAGGCTTTAACAGTTCTTCACGTTTTAATCCAATGTAAACAGTTAGACACTCTAAGAAGACAACACTTCCCATTACCCTACCGACAACATATACCTTTACATCCTGCAATGTTTGTCGGTAGGGAACCACTTTTCACCCATAAATCATTGTTAGCTTTTTTAAGAGATGTTAATTTTTACCATGTAATATACCAAGGCATTGCGTAGCGTGACCTCTCAAGAGAGGTCGCTGCTTCTGTGATTACATTTAAAAGCACTTGCCTCGCAGCCCTTGGACACAAGGGCACTGATGAGGCAAGTGTGCTAGTGCCAAATATTTTTACATGTTTTTATTATCAAAACCTTTGTCACCCTTTTTAATATGCATATCACGCCACTGTCATGTCTTTAATACTTGTGTTTTTACCCGCATTATCGCGAGGAATTTTAAGGCCCCTGTACAGCCACGCAACATATCATTGTCCACATCTCTATACTCATTGAAATGGCGCTCTTTGGCCATCAATTGGCCCTTGCGCCATAAAACACCACACATCATCATCATTCTTCTCCTTTTGTCGTCGTTTTGATCTCACGCTATAACAATCGTAATGTGATACCAATTAGCCCAACCCACCACACTTCTAAGTTATAAGAATCCTCTCACATTAAACGTGTTTCGTCTTCGAAGTGGCAGGAAAGAAAAACACGCGAAATTATTATACATTACAATCACCAGAGATCCCTTCAAGATTAACCAGTACCAGCGCTTTCAAAATGACGATACTTTAGGTCTGCAAGGTATGGCCGAAAGCGTCTATCATACTTGCATATCACAAGTCGTGGCAAAAACTGTGAAATAAGGCTTAGTACCCAAGGTACTAAGCCTTATTCACACTGTACTAACGTAGGAGTGGTCACCGCGTGCTTCAAAGGGGGTCATGTACAGCCCAACATGAAATTGGAAAGTTATTTAGGTGATTTCTTTGCAATTCAATAGAGTTTTTTTTTCGAAATAATGTTTTGGAAGGACCGAGACAGAAAAAGGAACAATGACAGCTGACTCATATAAGCAGGTCTATTGTGTCATAGAAGAAACCGGCGTGCTGCAATATAACATAAAAAACAGACGTATCAGGACTCCGTTTTTAGAAGGCTCGTTCTTCCAGCAGTTTCCACAGGCGTTGCAGGGGCGTAGTTTGAATGAGCTTGGCGTTGGAGGTAAAGGGTTGGTAACATGTTTGACACATCATTGTCCTGATCAGGAAATCGCCAATATACTGCCCGGCATCAATGATAGCAGCGATGGAAGCCAAGATTCAAAATTGCGTCGCTAGGCCTGGAATACTCCCAAGAAGCTGTCTGTCTGGAGATCTGCTTTTTGCAGTGTGTAGTATAAACCGGCACGACAAACTGACTAATGATAGTATGCGGGGTTTGATGTCTCAAAACCACGATATGATTATGAGAGACGCGGTAGTGGAGGGCTCCAGAAATTTTGACAATCTGGTATTCTTGAAAGCTCGCTGGTATCGCACAGCATATGGGCCTCTGGCGTTTCGCCTGCATTGGAATTCGACCATCGAAGTCGATATCGAACCCAGTATGTTTGCGTCAGCAGCCGAGCACCCTTACTGGACGAATTGACTACCATTCTGACATTTTGTGACGTTAGTCGCCGAAATCAAGCATGATGACTAAGTATTTCCTGGACACAATTTCGAAGAGACTTACTGCCTCTTTTATTTGCGGATAGATTTCGTCGCACATGCTTTTTTCTACTTGATGAAGTACAGCCGCACTCGACATGTGGCTGTACTCATGCGAGTCCTTCATTCTTTTTTAAGCGCTTGAGTTGATCACTATCGATATCAAGTAACTTTCGTTGGCATATAACTTACCTTTAGTTGTACAATGAACCAAACCAGCCTCTATCTCTATCTTTCTCACACACAAGAGGGGAGACTGAGATGGAGACACACACATGCGCATGCTCACTTTCACAGCTCTGCGATGTTGCCATGGAGCACCCAATTTTCTCCTGTGGCCGTACAATGAAGGTGAGTGTGCGCTCAAGTAATGTAAAAAAAATTGTGTGAGCTATTTTCTGACTGAATAAACGACGTAATGTTGGGGAGAGATATGAATAAACGGAAAAGAATGGAGGTTACCTTGATTGCCGTGTGTATTTTGTTGCCCTGTGGAGACGGACTTGAAAAGCTATATTTAAATGCAATGGTAGAAAATAAGAACGTACACGACCATTAAGGATCTTTCTTGAAAAAAAATACAAGAACCTTACAAAAAAGTTTATTGTCAGAAACAAATCGCAAAGCCAACTTCCGCTCTCAGGACAAGCTCTATGCTACCGTCGAGCCAGGTCCCTATAACCTTTGAGTGAACGAGTAGCATTGCCCACCCAGTCTATGAAGCTTTCTACTTTGGCGTAGACGACTGGCGATTCACAACTAAATCCATGGGACACAATTCCCACTTGCACGTAGAGCTTCTTGCTAGTTAGCAAGAACAGGGGACTGCCGGAGTCACCCTGAAAAAGTGGAGGAAATGGTTAATGGGTGGCCATAAATGCAAGTTTTAACAACTGCTTGCATTAAAATAATTGTCCTTTATCAAACACTTCTAGATTTTGCTAAATGGCTGAAACATAAAGTCACGGTTATACTGCAAGGGCGAGGCAATAAATGAGAGGCAATAAATTGGAATGTCAAACAAAGAACGTCAAGCAGATCAAAACGGGAAGTGCCCTACTCGAGCACAAATGATCCACGAAAAGAACAAACCCAGAATGAGCACTAACAACGTTTCAAAGCTAGAAGCAGAACGCACAGCTGAAATAGAAAGGAAGAACGAACCGTTTGCGCTGGTATACCGGATGAGCACGAACTAACAAGTGTCAGAATAGTTACATCACTGTGCTCTAAGAGCACGCTATTTCCGCAATTAGGGCCTGTGTAGCGAGTGAAGTGACCTTGAAGACCTGCAAACCATCCTCATCACAAGATACGCGCGTGCGCGCACGGGTGACCACACCCCGTAGAAACTTTTTATAACCGACGATTTCATAGCACGTATACATTCAAGGCGGAACAAAAGCACTGACACAGAAAGACCCACCAAACACCAGAACAACACACCCACAGCAACACACGTAGAACATTGCTGTGTTCCGCAGTGTGTTTCAAAGGCGTTGCTTTTGAAAGAGAAGAACTCTAGACAACAAAAACAGCAAGTTGGCATTGCAGAAATATCTCCGTCTAGTAGCAAAGTAAACGTTGGTGCTTACGAAGCATGGGCTGGTGTTGTTGCGGAACGCGCAGTAAGTTTTGTCACTCCTGTAGGAGTCCAGGTAGATCTTTTCGCAAACCTCGTTTGGTTGTATCTTCACAATCGTGAACTGCAGGTAGTCCGAGGTGTTGCCGACTGTGGTAAGGGTAAAAAAAAAAACTTTAAAAACTGTTATTCAGTCCTGGGCATAAAGCTTTTGGCAAACTGCAGCAATGCTGACGCTCTTCGCTGATAGAGTGCATGGGACTTTGAATAGTGAACTTATTCTCTATACATACATCTTGCAAGGTCTTTGCTGTTGGTTCTTTATCCAGGACGGCTTACCATTCCGGTATAATGAGGGTATTTTCAATACTCTAGCTTGTCTAGTTTTTTTTTCTAAATCCAGAACATACACTCAGAAAGTTTTCCCCAGCCAGCGATGACCGCATTCTTGTTGTACGCATTCAGAGGTTTCGTAGGGAAGCATATCGGCTTGACCTCAAGTCCATACTGGAATGGCTTTTCCACCTGCGGACAAAAGCATTTCTTTTTTATCAAAAAATGCACCTTAAATGTGTCAAGTTTGCGTTTGATTTATAATGTTAGTTTTTTGAGGGCACTGCATGGAGGGCAATCGAAATAGCTTACTTATTTGGAAATACGGTGTCCTCCTCACTGTGACTGAAGGTGGCAATGCAACCCACAACTGCGTGTTACTGTTAATTGGTCTGAAACACCGAATACCACCTTCGATATGCCGTAAGGTATGCCAGTAAACGATATGGCAGTCAACACTTCGATTTACCTATTTGAGATGTGCTCCTGAGTAATGCAAACTCAAATGATTACATTTATGAACACCTTAGACAGCCAGAAGACAAAAATCAATTTAGGGTTTTTCTTTCTTTGTCGATTGTATTGATCGTGTGCCGCCACGCACAGAAAACGCTCTCAGCCTGACGTTGTTTTCGATTTTTGTCTACAATGGTAGGCGTTTCACACGAATTAGCACTGCCTTCGAGAAGTGCCCACATTTCATCAAGCGATGCCGTCGTGTGATGAGGTCATAGTGACGCCGTGATGATGCTAAATTTTGGCGGTATATATCCCTACTGAAACGTTCCGTATGCGATGTCCAATAATTCCGTATCTTTCCGTAAGAATCTTACAAAGATATATGGAAAATATATGGGAAACATATGCATTCAATATGGAAACATATGGAATTATTGGACTCGCATACGGAACGTTTCAGTATGTGACTTCATGATGCCGATGTCGGGGGATAGGTCACAAGGCGAGGGTTGTATTTTGTTTTTGAAATAAAATTGTTTCATATTCTAAACACGTTTTGAGACAGCATACAAAATAACTCACTGGTATCATCACGGGTAAAACAACGAACTAATAGAATATAAAAACAGGCTGGAAATAGGTAACCCAACGAATAATGTGTTTTGTCTGACATAGGAAAAAATATAGACATCGCAAAAGTTCCTTCGGCTGAAAATTAGCACGAGAACACCAAAAGAAAGAACCACCGGAAGAAATAAATTTTAACCCTTTCTCCACAAGAGTTTTATAGAAACATCATTTATTCATCATTCAGAGATGAAGCTCTCATGCTAGCGTGATATATATATATATATATATATATATATATATATATATATATATATATATATATATATATTAAGGCGATCTAATAGACAATATTGCCAAAGAATGTATAGGGGAAGTTGTTACACCCAATTGTAATGTAAACCTGCGCAGAGAAAGAAAAGTGGATGAAAAGATAACTTGCCCCAAGCAGGAATAAATGAATACACACACGCACTCACACACGCACACACACACACACACACACCCACACCCACACACCACACCACACACACACACACCACACACACACACACACACCACACACCACACACACACACACACACACACACCACACACACACACACACACACACACACACACACATATATATATATATATATATATATATATATATATATATATATATATATATATATATATATGCACGAAAAGTGACCGTGGGCATCTACACGAATAAGGTGAAAAAGGATCATTGCATGACTTTATACGAGTAAAAAATTATTACCTCCTCGTGGAATCGCAAAAAGTTACTGTGACTTCATCACCGAACATTGTCGCGTGATAAAAGTAGAAGTGATCGCAGACGCATGAAACAACAACGTCTTGTGCAGAGAAGCTTTCAGAAGGGGTTTCAGAATTGCCACAATTCATGGAAAAAGAGATGTCTTTTGCCTTCAAATAATCTTAGAAAAACGCAGAAAAGGCCATGTGAGTTTTTAGTTACGACTTTGAAACATAGACATTAAGGGCTTTCACTCAAGTGCGATACATGCTGCCCGCCTTTTTTTTTTTTTTGGTGTGGGGGGGGGGGTAATGACACGCTCAAAGCCATGCACGAAGTTTCTATTGGTTAATGCTATTGCACGTAACTATTGTATGTAAGATGAGTGTCTGAGCATTGTTACCAGCAGGACAGCGATGTCGTTGAATAACGATTTGTCGTCATACTGCGGATGTCGCAAAAGTTTTGCAACTTTGACCCTGGCAGCCCGGCTTATGTCGGCGTGACCGTAGATAATGTAAATGGCGGCAATTTCTGTGCCACCCCTGCACCATATGAGAAGAAAAGAAAAAAAAAAGGTGTGTCAATGATTCGAAGACTGAGAAAAGATTGAAGCTGATCACGTTTCCCCTCTTCTTCTCATCCCTTCGCCAGTCTCTCTTCTATTTCCCACTTCTCATACTATATGATGGATGGTTGTGATCTTCTTCTTTCTAGTTCAATTTATCCCTCGTTTCACTGGTTTCTTTGTCTTTCTTTGTGGGGTACTTTTCCTTTTTTTTCATTTATGCTTACTTTTTTGCTCATCTCCTTTTTGGCATTCACTTTTTTAGCTATCGCTGATCCTTTCTGCCTCATTTTGGTTGATTAAACGTGTTGGTGGCCGAAGCCATCAGCACAGAATTGAGCCAAGTCTTTCTGAGTGAAATTTATAACTATGATTATAATGAAAACGATTCGTTGTAATGCTGAGTAGATGTTTGTTTGATTTGTGTGTCAGTAGTATCGTAAACTTTGTTAAGAATTTGATGGTAAATAAGAGTTAGTTGCGATGGTTAATCGAGGGTACTTGAAATATAGTTTCAATTCATTTCACTGGCAGTTAGAACCTAAATTCAAAGAACACCCTGCAGCAAAACAGACATAATTTTTTTTCAAACTATTGGCTTACTTTTGTAGAGTTTTGAGAATGGTAGCACTTTACGTGGAGAAAAGATATATGTAAAGTAGTACGTAAACTTTTTCTCTGAAGAGGTGCTAACTTACGCCTAATTCAGTAACACAGCCACATTTAGAAAAAAAAACAGCCTCTGTACCAAAAAAATCACTGTTTCGTCGTGTACCCTAAGCCTAGTATGATGGTCTACTGATACATGCATCTAAATGCAGGCGGCGCGTTTGAAGCATACCTTTGATCAGTGCTTTCAAGTTTGCTGCAACGTTTCCATGTCTATGAATAATCGTTCACACGGCCCTTGGAGGGCTTAACGTGTACTAAACTTTACTGCACATTTGAATGAATGAGTTGCAGCTTCACAGCAGAGCAATGTAGCCGGGTACTTTGGTGTAATGTACTAAGCTGTTCATTATGAAGAAGCAAGAAAGGAAAACTTACTGAATCGTGCAGTGGGCTGCTGTGAGAACGTGACGCTTTGTGATGATGCTGCCTCCGCATGCACTTTTGAATGACGGGAAATGAAGTTCCAAGTAAATCTGGCAATGTTAAGGAAGCCGATGTTTTAAAAAGAATTTGTCATTGCGTTCGTTAGTCTGGTGACCTATTGATTACGCGCCTTTGCCTTTGTTGGTTCATAAGCATGATGCACGGTCTCTCGTAGCACATAATTTTACGTTATGAATGTACCGTATGATCAGACGTGTCGATATCTTGGCGTAATACCTAGATTGTGCGAAATGTTATTTGACGATTCATTCTTTTCGCTATGTCATTATCTTAGTGGCAAAGCGTATATGAGAGGTCTCGGGAAGTAGCAGTCCTTTGGCACCTCCCAAAGAACTGCACTAAGATACATAATTACTTTCCGTATGGAGAATGCATATTTCAAGAAATTAACGTGAAGTTTCAGCCTCGTCACCTTAAGCAACAACAAAGTGACTAGTTGCAATTATTTTCGGATTATTCGAAATGGCATTATGACAATTTTAACATAAATATCATCCAATATTTTTCAAAGCGAATCACTTGCAGATGCACCTATTGCAAAATGCTTGCCTTCGCAAAAATGGAACTCAGACTGCTAACAATAGGCCACTGAGTTCATGAAGAAGCACAGTGACGTTGTTCATTCGTTACCTGGTCAAGACGATTTGTCATGTCCAGAGTTCACTACCGGTGCTTTTTAAAGATTTGCACTCGGCTGCATATGTAGCAGGTTATGCCTTTGGTCATGACAATGAACACGTTCTATGAAATTACTACGTAGTTTAACCCATATCGGATGTCGATAGAAAGTATAAGCCTGAGCGCACGCTAGTCTAGCACTTTTGCCTTTTTTTTTTCGAGATGTTACGAAATAATGTTGGTCGCGAGCAGCAGCAAGCGATGCACCATTCAGCACTACCATTGGCCGAGAAAACCTGCTTCACTTCCACTGTAGTATACAGGTTGATCGTTCGACGCTTATCATGCAGGAATTACGCCTTGTTGCTCAACGAAAAAGCCCGAAACATAAAGTTGTATAGAATGTTAGGGCACATTTTCGGAGTTTTATCTTGTAAGGGGCTAACGCTTGGAGTGTGCAATAGTTTTGTAGCCACATCTGTCAAGTGGAAAAGTGAATAGATACAGTAGGTGCAGTAAAGTGCCACTTGGATGAGTAAATTTGAAATTGTACACATAGCCAGATTAAAAAAAAAAACAGTGTTGGCATGAAATATTCTTTGAAGGTTGTCGTCTTACCGCCCATGGAAACTCGTGCGGTCTCGCCGACATTCCATTCACGACGGCTGCCGGAGCAGTCCCACAGCCTAAAAACGAAGTCCTCTATAATATGTACCTAATTAGCTTAAACTTGAGATTATTTTTTCATTTATTTATTCAAGCATACTGCAGCGCTAATTGCTGTATCCCAGAAGTTGGTATATAAGGATACACAGGTATATAACTAACACAATTGGAATAATGCCAGCAGGTAACATGAAAACGTCGTACAAATAATAAGGCAGAAATATTATGATATAAAAAGCAAATACTATTTTCAAACAGATCAGCGTATTTCTGACATAAGTGTTGAAGATTTTGGCTACAAAACTCTGCGATAGGCATGGATGAACAGAACCACGTAATGAATACCACTCTTCGATGGAACAGGAAAAAAAAACTGAAATTGAACATATTAGTTTGAACGTAAGGCCACAAATTTAGGTTGGGATAGTTTCCCGTCTTTGACTGTGGGGCGAAGTTTATGTATTTCACATTTTTGACAATTTAACTGTGGACGAAACTGCTTTACAAGAATTTTAATGACTCTATTCAGCGACGCGAATGAAGTGGAGTTTTTGCAATGAAGATAGAGTAGAAGAGGGTGAGAATTCGCGGTCGTAACGATTACTTATGAATCTTACCGCCTTTTTCTGGAATGCTTTCGATTCTTGAATCTCGTTATGCTAATACGGGTTCCGTAAAACGGACGCGTAGTCAAATACAGGACGAATTAGCGATTCATGTAACTGGAGCATATTGTAAGAGAAGAAGTTATTGCACACAGCCTATTTGATTTGTTTGCTGCACCTTTGAAATCTATTCATGTCAAGATCTCAGGATCTCGTAGATATTATATAAATGAAGGGCACGGCTACTCAAAGCCTAGCTTTTTTGTTTTTATGATTTTAGACAGCTCATTGCGCGGTTTGTTGCTAAACATATGAATTGGGTAAATGATACCTTCCTCATTTAGATGAGCATCTTGTGACGCAAACTGAAACAAATAGAACAGTTAAAGTCAACAGTGATTCAGGTTGTCACTTTAAGGCACACTTTAAATAATCAGGAATTAATTAGGAGGCGCACAAAAAGTGAGCACACTAATTTGCCCCAAACGCAACTCATAGATCATGAGAATATTTGTATGCCGCTGAAAAATGTTAAGTTGCACACAAATGAGTCGCTTCCACTGCTTTAGCGAATTTAGCTGTGGGATGAGCATCACAATTCTTGTTTATTTTGAAAGAGGAGTCAGTTCTAAAAACTATTCTTGAAAAAATGTTGAGGGTTAAAATTTTATTGTTATTGCTTGAGAAAGTTTGCTGGCAGTGCCAAGAAATACCTTGAAAACAGCTTTTTTTTCTTATTTAACTGACCATCACTCAATATGGCAAATAAGGCTTGGGGAAAGCGTTTGCTAAAATATATTTAAAACAAAAAAGTGCTACTGATATTATGAGATTGCCAAGACGCTGGCCTACGCTGCGACAGTTAGCAGCTGAAGGGAAAGGACTGGTGAGGTTGATACTATGGAGTTATGTGTTTGAAATACAAGCAAATATTCATTACTGCAGTTATCTTTTATTAATTTATTTCTATTAGCGCCTTATTTGCAGATAATAACAATGAATCGCCTTTTCCTTTCCCCTGATTGCATAAACATGATCTGTCTTGTTGGCTGGCGTGAGCGCCTACGCAATCTATAACAGGTTTTGAATGTCTTAACATTTATCTTGCTAACCAAATACTAATAGTCATACCTACCGACTGAATCGAGGTAAGTAGTAGGGTGGTCACTACGCGTAAGCGTGCCATTATTTCTTCGCACTGCTGATTATGTTGACACCCTGTTGATTAAATAAAAAGATCATATAGGTCACAGTTTTTTTTATTTTTTCACATCTGGACTTGGGTAAGAGTGCCTTTCACTCACTGTCATTACATACAGCAAAAGTTCTGTATCAAAATATGAAGACAATAGATCTGAAAAACATAGAAGCAATACTGCTTTTTCTAACTTTTGCGGGTACTCAAAGAGGCGCTACCAGCTTCGATAATTTAACGTACAGGAACCAAACCTACACGCTTCGTGTGTCACAGTTGCCGATGTCATTATCTTTGCTGAGTTCAGTCATGCTGGCTGCTGTTCTGCCATACGGAAGACAGTGGCTCTACTATCTGTTAATCTATGAATATTGGGCATAAGGGTAGTTTTGCGTCATCGTTAGATCTTCGTGGATGCGTATACATATTATTTTAAAATGAACATGATATAAATGTAGCCAGTAGTGTTATCGCAAGGCAAAATGTAGTTTATTTTTCCTATTCGCGCACATGCTTGCTTTTAAAGGCTGCACGAACATTGATTTTTCATATATACTTAGATCATTTTAACAGGTAATGAACTTCAAACAATGCAGTCATAATATGAACTGGTGAGCACATGACTGCGAGTTGTCTTCAGCATATGGTGGCCGTAGAGAGTGGTTGTATGCAATGAATAAATATGAACGAACACAATAGCTCATCCACAGTGATAACCAAAGTCGATACACTACAGCTATATGGTAAAGGTGCGTGAAAATTACTGACATTGAAACCGTACAAGCATTTTTGTCTTGTATGCGGTTGCTCTTGCCCAGTCGCATACAGTGACAATTTGGCAGTCATTACTAAGGATTAGTTCTCATTTTAACTGACGGACTGTTTTGTGTTGCAAGTTGAGCATGTAATTATTATCTTTAAACCGAATTTGATCTTAAAATTATAGGCAATGACATCGATTGCAGCATAAGTGAAGTAACTGTTGCTATCAAAGAGAAAATGGGCCGAATAATCTTTTCGCAACAATATATAGGTCGCTACTGCCTTGCAAACACATGAATATATTTAAAAGCACATGAATATATTTAAAAGCACATGAACACATGAATGTCAGCAACAGTAAAATTCCTCTCAAACATTAATCGCTATCGCGTTGGTTTCACATGACCCCTCCATTATCGGTGACCATTCAGACACCCCGACAAGAAAGCGTTGATATCAAGAGCCTGAGGAAGGGACCTTACGTATTCATTCGCCAGTAGCAATTCAAAGTAAACAAAAATATTTACGCAGTCCTCCCAATTCAAAGTGAAACGTCACCTGCATCAACCTTGACGTAGACGGCTATTAGTGCAGGTTCATGTAAATAATGATGACAAAGAGGAGAAAACCGGTATAACGAGATTTTTATACTGCTATCTGAAGCGTGCTGTTTCTTGTGTGTGTGGTAAGAGAAAAAAAGAAGTCAGGAGGATACCAGCAATGCACAATGGCAGGTACAAATAAACGCGTTGTAATCGACGTTGAAGAAACAGAAGCAGCAGTGGTGATGCCAACGTGAAACCTCTGCTCAATACTCTTCAAACAAATGACGACAACTTCTGAATGAGATCAAAATATGGGCGAACACTACACTGACAGATGAGAAGAACACAATGCAGCCCAAGCAGTACCCATATTTGGAAACAACTGCACTGAGGAGTCTTGTCGATAGAGAACTTTACGGCAGTCGCACAGTGTACAGCCTCAAAAGGACACTGCGGATTTATATTATGCTGTTGTATCGTTAGTCATTCTGCATTCACCTGTACCAGTAGTTTATTCCGTTTCTCATTGTTTTCTAGAAATTGTATGCTTGCTCATTTATGTACGCCCTCAGTGCAGATACATGCATAGGTGACAAGTTCTCAAGCAGACAATTTTGTTCCTTCGACTTTATTAGCTAAGGCTCTCTGTGTCTGAAACAACCCTAAATAAATAAGTAAAAATAAATTAAACAAGGAGTGAGCGAAGTAATATAGATGGACAGTCGCTTTCTTCCCTGAAGAAAAGGGAGATTATACGTACCCTGCCATATTCAGTGCAGTAATAGTAATAGTTGAATCGGCATTGTATATGTGCATGAATATTTCCTGATTTTTCAAATACAGGAGAGAGACGTAAGTGTCGTCCACTTTTTTTTTTTGAAAGGGCATGTTTGGACTCGGACTTATATATTTGTGCATTTCAATTTCGGACTTCCTTTTAATTTCAATCGAGTTACTAATCTAGTGAAGGTCGTTCACTAAAGCGTTTTTAATATAATAGGCTGACTGTTGCGTTCCGGACAGAGCGGGATACACGTGGATACTGACAGTACTGCTAGAACTCTTGTTCGGGCTGACCATGGTTGGAACGCCTTGTTGCATCGGCAGCTCGGATGTCGTTGGGGTTGTATTTTTCGCCGTGAATGGTGCAATCCTGAGGCTTCTTGCTTTCGAGCTTTTTGACAGACTGTGACGAAGTGCCTGAGTGATAGCGGTGTGTAAGCAGGGCTTCCGCGTCTTTCTCGGCGTTTTCTGGGGAACTGCGTCGATGATGAGTGACTTATGAAGGGGCAGGCAGGTCTCCATCCTGTCGGCTCGTGTGACGCTATGATGAATGGGGAACGTGGCCTGGCTCATACCCCATGTTTATTTCATTCTGACTTCTTCCTCCTCTGCTTCTACCAACCATCGTTTCATACCTCACATATATTTGTGCAATTGAATTTGACTGATTGATTGATATGTGGGGTTTAACGTTACAAAACCACCATATGATTATGGTTCACTAAAGGCTGTTTTTAGGACTAATAATAGCAGTAAACAGATGTCCGAAAAGAAACGCTGATGATAATTGCGTGATAGGACAATTTTCAGGCATCGGTACCATTTCAAAATGCAGGGGGAGTTTCAAGCGTAGGTAGTCCTATCGTATGACCAATATGTCATGGTTTTAGGTGGCATGCCATAATCAAGTATTTGATTAAATAGCTTCGAGTCCTGCATGCATATTTGGTCATCTGTGTTAATAAAACTTACCGATGAAGAATATGTTGAAGCACTGCCAAGGAACCACATTGCACTTGCGTCTTAACGCAACTCATGTACAGACATATTACAGAATTCTTGCCATATATATATCTGTCGACTAATGTTTACAGCATTCCCAACTAAAAATTAAGTGGCCATAGAAAAAAATCAAATAAGAAAAATGAATATATCGACGACATCCTTTGTTAGGAACCACATATGTAGGGCTGAGAAAAATGACAGGGACACATATGCTTTCAATAAACTTGTTAGCAATAAAACCTTATGCATTCGCCGAGACAATTCCAAGGGCCAAGCCATATTATTCTTCATTTTTGCCTCAATCTATGTATCGATGATGACGTGCCTCCCTTCGAAGCACTCTGCACATAGCAAGGTTTGACACTGCCTCCACGGTCCGAAGCATCGCAAGCTTTCCGCACTTGACCTAATATTGCACGGTCGCCTGGACCAAGCCACCTTCGAGGAAGCGACGTTGTCTTCTGATGACACTGCCTCCCGCACTTAGCCAACTTCGACCAGGCGACGTGATCTTCTGATAATGTCGCATTTAGGAATCATTGTGTTTGACGTCCTAGTAACATGAAGATGGAACTTAGAAGTCTGGCAGCTTGGGCTAGTTGGTATAGCATGACGATAGTTATAGCTCGAGAACAAAACGACGACACAGAGATAAGAAGGTCTTTCGTGTCCTTCTTGTCTTTGTGTCGTCGTTTTGTTCTCGCGCTATAACTATCGTCATGAAGATGGAGGCCCAAATTTGGTAATACGTGACCTCATTCGCGCCGACGTTGACCGCTGTGCGACGCTGACGCTGTTATATTTTTGACTACGTTAGCTCTGTGAGCAATACATGCCGGCTGTAATTAGCAATTCTAAGGGCAGCTTTCTCTGCTCTGGGTTGTAGGAATTTCGTATATTGTCAAAATGTCTTTTTATGGGCCTAGTTGGTGCATATTTAAGAGAATTACTTAGCGCAAGAAAAAACACAGCACGCGAGAAATGATGATGTGTGATGTTTTGTGGTGCAAGGCCCTTTGATGGCCACCGAGTGCCAGGTCACGGGGCAAGAGATGTGAACAATGAATATATTGAGTGGCTGTACAAGGCCCTTGAAATACCCCGCATTAAAGTGGGCTACACATACAAGTAATAAAATCAAGACCGTAACATGAAAGGTATAGTGAGATTGGGTGGCAAAAGGTTCTAACAATAAAGCATGGTGAAGAAATTTGGCACTAGCACGAGAGCCACATCAGCGCCCTTGTGTCGAGGGGCCGCGAGGCAGGTGCTTTTCAGTGTAGCCACCGCAGCAGAAACATCTCTTGGGGGGTAGTGCTACGTGAAGCCTGGGTATGATAGGCGCTACGTACAATTGTTTATTCTACAATGTCGTCATGAAACATATATATGCATGTGCTATATACATGTGCGTTTTCTTTCACTAAATAATTTTCGCCTATAATGATAAGGCCGAAGGTGAGACGAAAAGCATCTCTTTGAGGTGGCATCATTTGACATCGCCACCACGTCTGTGTCAACAGAATGACCAAGCGTTTCCACCAACCGTTTAAGAAAGCCATTATGTCTCACTTGGTCTCAACCTGGCTTGAGGCCATCCTAGCTGTCACCCTCGGTCTTTGAGCCACCTTCAAGCCGGACATCCATGCAACACCAGCAGAAGCCTTCTACGGGAGACCACTCCGTCTCCCAGGTGAATTCATCGCAGCTCTGCCGTCCAGCACTACGACGTCAGACATCAGCAACTTCATCACCCAGCTCGGACGCAACTTCGTCGCGTTACTCCAGTCACCTTCAACCCATCACAACAAGCCTACACTTTTTGTGTACAACGAGCGAGCTATGTGCACGCACGCTTTCCTTCGCGACGAAACCGTTTGCTGGCCTTTCCAGCCATCCTAAAGCGGACCCTACGTATTCGCCCATCGCGACGACACCAATATCTGTGCATTAACGCCGATACTCTCTCGTGGAGTTGGCATGCCGCCTTGCGCAGCTGGCACCTCAACTAGTTTCACGCTACCCCGCAAGCGTGATAGGTGGCGAAGAAACAAGTCTGGACGTCCCCCGTGGGAGACAGAGGCATATCCAACTAAACTTCTGGTTTTAATAGAACGCTTTTCTGCTCCTTCTTCCTCCAAGGTGTAAAGAAAAGGAAAAAAAAGTGGAATGCCTGCCCGGACTGGGCACAAGTTGGCCGACACGTACACGGAAACATTCTTAATGCCGACGAGTGGCCATACTCCTGAGAGCGAGGTCTAGCATTCCTAGTTAGGGAGAACCGCTTGGAGGCTGAGTACACCCACTGGTACCACCAAAATCCCTTCTTCACCTTGCTTTGAATTGGTAAGCACTGTCAGTTGCAATGGCAGAAGTTCCCCTTCTTGCGTTCAACTCCAAAAAGAGCTCACTCTATCACTTTACGTCAACTACAGACTGAGGCCTACGCTTCTCCCTTAAATGTTCTAATTACATGGATGGCATAGAGCCAGCGTACTCTCACTGTGGTGACACACGGGCACTTTACAACACATGCAATGACAATGTCGTTAGAGCTCTGGGTCTCCCTCTATACGGAGGAGCACTGGCGATCTTTTCTTTTAGTTTCAGTTTCTTTTATCCTTTCGACCCAGGAAATTGTACAACACTCTTCTCTGAAAGACGATGCGTTCTATGATCATAAGGTTACCGTAGACCATCAATTGCGCTCCAGGCTACCATTGTGCTCACTGTGTCGCTTCTGTTCTTTTTGGATACATATTCGGCCAGTAAAGTGTTCATCCCTCAATTGGGAGAGTTGCTTCAACGTCACAACCACGTGATATGTGGAGGAGGTGCTGTTCATTCACTTTTCACACGCCCTTGTTAGGACGTATTCACGCGACTATATTTTGTCGCCCAGCTTTCCTGAAAAGCATGCTCTTTTCTTATAACCTTTCGTCTAATCTCTTTAGCAACCGAGGCTGAAAAACGGTGAGCTAGGTGCATATAAAACACTTACAACACAAGCATGAATATAAATTATGTGAGTTTTTTATGGTGCGAAAGCCATGCTATGCCATTGCGCCGTATACTTGGGGAGGAACGTTTTTTGGAAGGGCTGCGGAGGGACTGTTTTGATTTAAGGATTGCGAACGGTTCTTCGGCGGGCCACCTGTCCGGGCGGCGATCAGGGAGTGCAGGAAAAACATTTCCCATGCGGATAATGTATTGTTTGTCGGCAATGGTGGCCACCCACCACCGAGCTTAGCAAGGGGACACTGCAAGAAAGAACGTTTCAAATTGCCAGCCATGCATCGCTGCTATAACCGAATATAAGTACTAGCTATAACCGTATACAAGTAATATAACAATTTTGGGAACGGCTCAGAGCGATCCGTCGTCGCGCAGAAAGAAGATATAGGCGCACTAAGCCCACTCACGACTCGAGGGATGCAAGGCGCCTACAGAAAAAAATTCAGCGGCGAATCATTTTACTTCAGTCCTTTTGCTGGAAATATCTGTGCGAATCTTTGGATCCACACAAGCCTTTGACGCAGACATGGAGGATTGTTCGTGGCCTACGAACATCGCCACATCAACATCGCCCCTTCAAGTGTCTTTCTCTCCACCAAGCCCACACCGAAATTGAAGTAGCAGAAGATTTCTGCATAAAAGTTGCCGGTCATGCGTCCGCGTGCACCACGGGCCACCTAAAAATGATCCAGTTTCCAGAGATTCAAGAATGGACACCTTTTTTCTCTCTAGAGGAACTACAAGCGGCCTTGAAGGCATGCAAACGATCTTCATCGCCTGGTCCGGATGGGATCACGTACATGGCTCTTCGCAACCTCGGAGAAGCAGCTCGACGGCCCCTTCTATCCGTGTACAACGACTCGTGAAGCAGCGGATTTATCCCTCATTCATGGAAATCCAGCCGCCTCGTCCCTGTGCTTAAACCAGGTAAATCTCCTCTGCACTTGACCTCTTATCGCCCCATCGCGCTTACCAGCTGTTTCGGGAAAGTGATGGAGAGGATGATTTTGACTCGCCTAGAGTGGTATCTGGAGCGCCACGAGGTATACCCTCATGCTATGACGGGCTTTCGGCGTGGGCGGTCCGCAATTGATAACGTTATAGACCTGGTCTCATCTGTTCAGCATCAAAAAAGACTGAAACTTTTATCTGCGGCGTTGTTCTTGGACGTGAAAGGTGCATACGATAACGTATCACATGAAGCCATTCTGGATGTCATGGAAAATGTTGGATTAGGGGGTCGGGTTTACCAATGGGCCCGCAGCTATCTGAAAAACAGAACTTTCTTTGTACATACGGAGAATGGCACAACAAGGCACCATTGCAACCATCGTGGTGTGCCTCAAGGTGGTGTTCTTAGCCCCACACTTTTCAATATAGCGCTACTCGGCCTGGTTGATGCACTTCCAGAATCTGTCCATCTATCAATATATGCAGATGACATCTGCATCTGGGCGTCAGGCGTAATACGCCTTCATTTGCGTGCCCGGCTTCAGAGAGCGGCTACAATAGCGACAAAGTACGTGGAAGAAAGGGGACTAGAGCTGTCATCAGAGAAATGCTCACTTATAGCATTCACGCATAAGGCGATGAGCCCATATGTTATTAAAATCAACGGACACATGATCAACTACGTGAAGACCCACAGATTCCTCGGAGTCATAGTTGATTGCGACCTCTCCTGGAGCCCTCACATAGCCCACATGAAAACTAAACTCACCATGATCACCCACGTACTGAGGTTTCTTGCTGGAAAAACGTGGGGTGCATCGGTACGAGCAATGCTCCAACTCTACACTGTTCTGTTCCTCGGTTATATGCGATACAGCTTACCCGTGCTTTGCGGGATCCGAAGAACAAACTTGCGCGTCCTCCAGTCGATCCAAGCCCAAGCACTGAGAATATGCCTTGGTCTCCCGAGATGCGCGTCTACAGCAGCGACAGTCACCATTGCGTGTGAATATCCAGTCAAGGCATACATCCGCGTAGACGCTTTGAGAATGCACATAAGACATTTCGCTCGGCTTCCATCTCATCACCTCGCCTCACTTCGAACTTTCAGGCCCCACTCAGCGTTCAGCGCAACTGTAGCTCAGCATTGCGCAGTGCTTCCATTGCACTTCACGCATGCAGCACAGCCGCCGATACCATTATGGTGCCTAAACCCACTCAAAGCCCTTCTTACAATTCCTGGCATCCAAAATAAGAAAAAGTCGTCGCTTCTGGCCCTGAAACAGGCCACATTACTTTTCCTGCAAAAGAAGCACAACGGACGCCTTCACATTTACACGGATGGCTTGGTGTCTTCAGTAAGCTCTGCAGGGGCGGTGGTTATTCCCGGGAGGCAAATCACAATTAAGTTCATGACATCGCATTTGACGTCGTCGACAGCTGCAGAACTCGCCGCCATACGTGAAGCCCTGAAGTTTATAGTGGAAGAACCTTCGGGAATTGGGTCTATCTTCTCGGACTCGAAGGCAGCTCTTCTATGTCTTATGTCACCCTTTCGCCATGGACCTAATGAACAGTTAGTAGCTGAAATAAGGCTTCTTCATCATCAAGCAATCGAAAAAATGGCAGCATATCCACGGAGTGAATGATGGGGAGTGGGGCGAAGCATTCGTCCGTCCATTCGTTCTTGCTTCCATCCGTTCTTGCGTACGTCTGTCTAACCGTCCATGCGTCCATTCACCCGTCCGTGCGTGCGTCTGTTCGTGCGTCCGTCCCTGCGTTCGTCCATGCATCCGCGCCTGCGTCCGTTCATGCGTCCATCCATGCATATGTCTGTGTGTCCGTTCGTCTATATATTCAGCTCTCCAAGTACCACCATCTCGCATCTTTTCATCATATATTCTCCATATAGAAGCACCGCCATCTAGCGGACATTTTAAGGACTAAACGGGAGGTGGCACATGCACACTTTCTTACGGCTTGCGCTTCGGGTTTACTTCCCGCCTTTTACCACCTCGAGTTCATGGTATATACTAGTTCACTGTATTCATGGCTATGTGGCCCAACGCTCGCTAAACCTTTCTAAAACCAAGGAGGTTACACCCAGCGAGTATAACGTAGCAACCCTTTCTTGTCAGATCGTGCTCAATGTACATGCCGATAGCTGCTAATGGGGATCGCAGCGTGCGCGTTACCTAAAGGTCGAATGCTCCTGTCTCTCATTCCCCCTTAGCAGCCATTAACATGTGCACTGAGCACTATCTTTTATTATTCAACAATGCACAGAAGAAATCTCTCACGGGAACCACCTTGGAGGTCAATATCGTAAGGACCGCTATTTCGGGTGTGTGCCACTGGTGGTTACGTACTACGATGGACGCACAAGCCACGCCATAAGGAGCTTTTTGTGTACATGTATGCCAACATAATCATGTATATTAGAGCAAATGTCTTCACTGTAACGTAGTGATGTTAGTCGTGAAATATAGATGTGCCGAAGTGTATGTGCCCTGTTACTGGAATGGTATGAAGCCTTTGTGTTCTGTACATGCTGTAAATAAACTTTTTCTAAACAAGGAGCTTCGCCCCTAAAACAGCACAGCATAGTGCATCAGTAGATACCAGGTCATAGCGGTATATATGGCAATGACCGCGCAGATGAGGCCGCTAGATCTGCACACGATGGTACCCAATACACAGCCATCCCGTTCTCAAGAACCGATGCAGCTACAAGACTTCGTTCGCTTGCACGTGACCTCACACTGGTACAGTGGAACTCAACAGACTTCACAAACGCGCGCCTGCATAACTTGGATCCCGATCTGCAGCTTCGTCTTCCCCCAAGGATATCTCGAGCTGAGGAGACTCTTCTATGCCGCCTGTGACTTGGAGTGGCCTTCACGAACTTATACTCTTATCTCATTGGGATGGCCAGCTCTCCTACATGCAGTTACTGCAGTTGCGAAGAAACCATCGCGCACCTTCTGTGTGAATGCACCCATTTCAACGCGCAAAGACAAGCACTCACTGCAGCTCTGGATAGACTAGACGATCGGCCTTTGTCGGAACAAAGGATTCTGGGTAATTGGCCGAGCCCATCTTCAGCCCAGAAGGCTTTGAAAGCTTTGCTGCGCTTTTTGCGGACAACTGGCCTCAGAGACAGACTTTAGTGTCTTGTACTCTTTGATGTTGCCTTGCCTCTGTCGCATTTTTTTTGTAATTTCTCTCTCTCTGTTCGCAACATTTGTTATTATCATCTTTCATTCCCCTCACCCCTTTCCCCAGCACAGGGTAGCCAACCGGTCTAAGAACTGGCTAACCTCCCTGTCTTACCGCTTAAACTTTCTTCCTCTTCCTCTCTAACAATTTTGGGAAAAACTGTTTTGGCTTAAAGAGCGTGTGCTTCTCTTTCGTGCATCACTTTTTCGGGTGGTGATCAAGGAGCACAGTAATAGAGCTTGTCATACAGTAACATATTAAATATTTCGGTGGCGATGAACCAAACAAGGGGCGCTGCAAGCAAGAACACTTTAAGTCACCTGCCATGCATCGCCGCTATAACCGAGTATAAGTACCCAAAAGTTGTCAACTAGACAGGGTTAATCCTCGCCGCCAGGAAATCAGGAAGTAAACAGAAGAAAGACAATGACAGGACAAATAAAAATCGAGAGATAAAGAACAAGATGTAGGGAGAGAGAGATAGGAAAAAGGTGACTGCCGATTTCCCCTAGGTTGGTTAGACCAGGGACGCCATCTACGCGAAGACTGGGCCAAAGAGGTGGGTTGCCTGCATCAGGGTGTCCTAGAGGTCCAATCACCCGGCATCGGCTCAACAGTCACGATCCTCTTTCACCCTGACATGGCAATGCCACGCATGGCCAACTGTGGGAAGGGGTCGGAAACCTTCTGTTGGCTCCGGTCCGTGCTGTCACCACTTACGAAACGCCTGCTCGTGCGTACGCTCCTGTGGGGCTAAGAAGAGCAGGTGCTTCCTTCATTAAGGCACATAATATTTTAGAAACATACTCTTCATCAGACTTACTGCTTTAACGTTCTTTCGTCTACTCTGTCTCAGGCAGACGCTAAAAATACACGCTTCCAACGTGAATTTCGAAGAGGTAGCGTTTAAGAGCTTGTTTCGCGGAAAACCCAATGTTGGTGTTTGCGTAGTGCGCAGCGTCTCTGATTGTTAGGGAAAAAGCAGTGTTGACAATGAGTAAAAGCTTGCTGAATATGTAAAGTAAGATGAGGTCTGCAGGGCTCTTGTAAAAAAGGCGCAAAAAAATTAGAAGAAAACTTTTCAAGGTACGCTATTGGAGATTCTAACCAGCGACGCCTCACTTCTCACTGCGCTGCGTTAATAAACTAGACCGTGCCGCTCTCGTCATCTCTGTGACTAATGGTGAGCTATACATATACACAACTTAAAACAGCTTTATGTGAATGGAAATAAAAGAAACATTCTTGAACAAAGCTCGTATGTCTCGCTTGTAGTTATGCTTTGATGCACTGATGCATTAATCACCAATATTGTGACCGATCCCCTGTGGTAGGTGGGAAACATATAAGAAGGACCGAGCAAGTTTCCAAGCTTTTCCCACCATCCAGCTGTTCCAGCATCGACGCCCACACTGCGAAGTCTGGGACATTCCGAGTATGACGTTTTGATGAAGTGCATTGGAGCTGTAGTTTTAGCTATTATCAACAGCATTTTATACGTCAACTGACGCCAAGAAAGGAAACGCTATACGAGCGCCGGCAAAACGCCATAAGTTCGGTCTTTCTGATTCCACCTCATGTTGTTTAAACACCTGCGGAACAGCTTCAACAGAATGCTGGTGACGTTGAAGCAAAGCGGGCTTGCATTTGTGCGAGAAGGCAGAAATAACATGCTGCTGCGCGTGCAAGAATCGCTGCAGCTAAGCGCACGTTCGACCCTGTTCACTACATTTCATGTGGTTCCTAAATATCCAAGCCTTACTTCGTATAACAGTCCTATGTGTTGCTATCGCATTCATTGTATCAGTCTCGTGCAGGAACTGTGAGTTTTTTTTGTTGCGTCACTTGAGCTGACGCGAATGCTTCCGACGGTCACTTGCCGCATTTGTTTATTCATGTAATGCCTTGAAAACAGCGCCTAATAAGAACGGAAAACAAGAATAAAAAAGGCGTCACTCAAATGACATTGAACTGCAAAAGAGATATGATCTTCATAAAATCGGCAACGAGGATTGAAAGGTGAATTTCTACTTTTTCATCTCAGGCGATTTACTGATCCATATTTAGTCCACATGAAAGGTGTCTGACGCTATTCCGTTATGCCAGGAGGCTTTCAGACTTTTAGCACCCTCCAAGCTTTCGCGCATGCTCCATCATTGGCCCACTTAAGAGTGCGTGGCGATGCCATATGATGTCTTTGTCAAATGGCAACACGTCAGGTAATGTCCTTGTATAACGTTGACGTCTTATTGACTTCACGTCAGACAGTGTTTATCACAGTTATACGATGATAACATCTCAATAAATACAGAACTGTTAGCCATCTACGATGTGACGATCTGCCATGTCATCGCGATATCACATGGCGACATGTGATGTCATCAAATCGCGTATGAAGTTCACGCAGCGGGACGTTGACATCACTGACAGTAAGTTTTTGCATTTGATAATGGATCAAAGGCGTTCGCCTTGAACTAATCAAGTTACCCCTTGAATGCATCGAAACCATCGAACAGCCCGCTTTGTGAACGAACTTTATTCCAGACGTTACGTCCGAAGAAAAGGAAAAAACGAAAATAACACGTTGTCTTCTTCCGTTGGCGTGCTTTCCTGCATAGTGTCTACGGTAAGGTTCCTGTAGCCTTCGTCAGAGGCCACTGCTTTGGTGAGCCACGAAGCGTATGCATCCACTCGTGCGTAGACTCCAGGATTACCTTCTCGGGCACAACCGATTCCGTGAGAGATTATTCCAACTTGTACGCACGTACCATTCTTACTCTTGGCGAATAGTGGTCCTCCGGAATCGCCCTGCGCGTGTTTTGAAGAAGTCAATACTGATCACGTTAACCTCAATTACAGTGAACTTGAAGATCATTAGGGTTGATAGGTCGGCAAAAAATGTGGAAATTCACTAACTCAAGAAATATATTTTGCTCTTAGGACTCACACACACAGACGAAAGAATTTTCTCAAGTGAATTCACTCTGAAAAACTCATTAACATATTACTCAAATGGACTCACTCGGACACTCATGGCAAAAAATGAGTCAAAGTTAGTCGATTGTTGCGTGCGTTGGCGTATAAATGGCGTTTTTGACCTTAGTGTAAATGAATTTTAACCTTAGTGTGCCTTATAAGCGGCGCTGTTATTGGCACTCTTTCATTTCGTCTTTTTTGATATGAATGGTTGAAGTACACCAGCATTAGTTGGTGAAATGCCGTAAGGACACTTTTATTGAAAGGATTGACTTACACGAGATGTTTTACGAAAAAAATATTCGTTAAAGAAGTTGTGTGCGGCGGAAAAGGCTCCTTCTTAGCTCTATCTTCATAACTAGTGCCTCTAACACATATTGAACTGGCATATGAAGGCTAGTGGGTAGAAATATGCGTGCACTGAAATGAGTGTAAATAGGAATGTACTTATAGCACGACTTATATATGAGCGGCCTATAGTAATGCTGTTGGTCAATAGACAGAACCATGCCAGAGTTTTTTTTAGAACACAAAAGCCGTTAGTAACGGGACGCAATATCAATTTATTCGGGTCACCATGTCTTGCTCCCAGCCCAGGGTTTCACAGAGCACCAGGGTTATTTATTACACTTCCAACTTAGTGGCTAATAGGTGACATCAAATTGGTTGCCACTCAACGGGTGATGCACAACACCCATGTTATGGTAAATGTAATTTTTGTCGTACTCGTACAATTTCGTCCACTCTTCTTGTCTCTTTTTTTACTTGTTACACCATACGTGTTCTCACAAACTAACCTCACCCATTCTTTCCTGTATTTGAAGCTTTCAGGGACTAATCATTTTGACTGTTCAACCATCCACTGTCGTGAATAAGTACATTCTTCCTCGGCCACCAAATATATTAGCTTATCAAATGGAGACTTTCGGGAATGGCCATAATGCAATTCCTTTAGTCGTTTGTTGATGCATGATAATTCCATTCAATTAAATGGCCCTGTGAAGCTGCGGTATCTGTGCATGTACATATAGATAGATGGTTAGATAGATAGATAGATAAATAGATAGATAAATAGATAGATAGAATGATAGATGATAGATAGATAGATAGATAGATAGATAGATAGCATACCTTACACGTGTCCGTGTCCTTTTGATACGCACAGTAGTTCACATTTTCGTCGTACTCGATAGGGTACAGCCTTTCACAGTATTCGTGTGGCAGGATCCTTAGTGTTGTATAGTGGAGGTAGTACTTTGACGTTTTGTCGTCTGCGAAGCGGGAATAATTGTTTTTGGCGATTATAGCGCTGTGTTATAAAAATTCACCACGTGCCATAAAAGCGGTGACAGTATAAAGAGCAAGCTTCTGACATACACGTTTCAATCTTAGCACTACGCAGAACTCGGAGGAGCTCCAGCGTCTTTTGTATTACGCAATGCTGCGACATTTTTGTCGAATCTGCAAACTGCCCTTGAGACGCCAGCGATTAAGTGGCACCTACCTGTATCCACACGGAAGGTGAAAAAAAGAGAGAGAAACAGTGGGCACACCTTGCATCAGACGCTACCAGATGGCGGCAAGTAGAGAGAGGTAAGTTTATGTACCACAGGTGAAAAAAATATCTATCTATGCGCGACGGACTCCGCATTGTCGACGCTTGCCGCGCGTCGCTCAAGCGCAAAGGTGCAACAACTGTGAGAGTTGTTGGCACTTGCTCCGTGTGTATCTGCACATTCTTTTCGACCGTTCTTCTTTTTGCTTCGACAACACGCTGCAAGTATCCAGCTGCTTATCGTTCTCCGTGTGACATCTGGACTTCTTGCTATCACATTCATTGCTTGCTCTTTCGATAAAAATGGGGACCTTTTTTGTTAAGTACCTTCGGTATGGCGTCCCCATCCTGCGACTAAGGCCTCGATGTTGATGATGTTCACGTGATCCAAGAGAACACATATCGGCCTTACACTCTTATCCATTGTGAACGGTTGCTCCACCTGTACAAACGAACGTTAGAAAGGTTTCAAACACTTCTAGAAATACCTTATTGAGGCAGTCGCATCAAATGGACAATAACACCTTGTTATCATAATCTGTTTTGTGGCTTGATACTTCAGCGTTAACAAATAAGCTGCTGAAATTTGCATTATTTTGGTTTCACAATTAGGTAAATTTAAAATTTAATATATTTACACGCACGCCAGCGGCCTTAATCTCGTAAAACACTGGTGCACTCGCGGGGCGTAACATAACAAGCAGATTGCTCCTCAAGCGTGTGTCATCCAGCGAACGATATTGTTGCTGGGTAAGCTTCACGTGAAGTCAATATATTTCAGAATTTTTCTGCTTGGTGCTAAATTTGATTGTTTTTCTGCTGGTGAAATTTTGATATAAAGCGATGGCTCTGCTTCTTTAGGCCCACGACTGCACAAACACAATGGCAAAATGGAGGCAGTCGGTGGTGTGAGGAGTTTGTAACTGGAGACTTCTGGGGCTTGTTTGAACTGAAATCGTCTCCTATTGCCTACCTTTTATATATATTTAGACATAGTATCATCGGTAGCGGAAGAATAATAGGGTGAAAGCGCTGCGCAAAAAGTTTCAAAACGATATAGCTGAGGTCTATGTAAATGCTGCGGAAGAGCCGGACGGTCAACACATGGCAATGGTCACTTCAAATCAAGCGGGACACCTGCTTCCCAACAGTTTCAATAAATAAAAAAAAATTTGAGAGCGCGAAAGAAGGGACCATAGCATTGGCGCTTGCATCTACAAAAGTCAGCATTACAATCAGCTGCTCTAAAACCGCATTTCATAAGTTTGCGCATGGTATGGTCTCGAAAGAGGTGAAAAGAGTTATGATCAACTTTTACGGAGAGCGCGACGTGTATGTCTTATAGAAGCCCGCTCACTTTTCCCTCCCGGGCTATGAAAACGTGCAACCCCTAGCTCGAGAATGATTGAGGCCAGCTGGTGCTGTAATGACATGGAGCCCGCGTGTAGAAAGAGAGTGCATGGTGTCACACAATTAAATCACCACTGTAGATTAGAAAGGTGCTTAAACCCTCCACCCCATTCATTAATAAATGAACAGCAGGCGACAGCATTGCGCCTATTGCAAACAAGCACGTTCGCAAACCAAATTGCTTAGCGTCATTGCTATCCAGATCGCTACTCCGACAAATGTAAAGTCTGCAGTAATAGGGCGAGCCTCAAACACATTATCTAGGCTTGTCCTAACCTTGGGAAGAGGCAAAACACAAAGTTTTTCAACGCAAAGCAGTGGAAGACAGCGCTGTTTAGCTCAAACACCTACAGCCGCCTACAAGTAATCAAGCAAGCCGGAGTTGCCGTTAGGTGTCAAGGACTCTTAGCTGCCATATAGAAGAGAATATATAACTCCTCTAAAGCTTGCCATTTCAAATAAAGCTGTTTCTCTCTTAGGCATAGCGGACCTCTTTTTGCAATTGTTTCAGAAAATCACGAAATATGGCGTGATCGTGTCATGGCCTCTTTAAATGCCTCATGAGAAGCGGTAAAACATGTGCGGTGAATGGTCGAAATGCACTGTCTATATAAATATGCAAAACTTTTGATCAACATGATTGCAGGGGCATGGGGGCAGTTCGTATAAAAATATCTTACGAATATGTGGGACGCCTGAGTGAAAGACTTTGGTAATTTTGACGATGTGGTGTTCATTAACGTGCTTCTAGATCTCTGTACACAGGCACCCAGCCTTGCGCTTTTAGAAATACGGCCACCGTGGCATGGCTTCAATTCCCGGACCTTCGGGTCGGCAGAAAACACCACCAGACAATCATGGCTTGTATACATCACAGTATGGTTACGTGGATAAAGACATAGATACGAAGAAACGTAGGTAAATAGAACTGATAAATTCTGAGAACTTCTGATAAGGAGTGATAAGACTGATACATTTCGTAATTGCATAACACGTGACTGAAAAAAAATTATCGTCAAAAAAATAGAGGCTAACACGCAAAGCGATTAACCATCAAAGTGGTCCTAGCAATCGGCATGGAACAAAGTTTTGTTGAGGCTATGGGGTGTAACAATCAAAACAGTAGGCTGTCCTTAATGGAGACCATTCTAGTTGAGGTTTCTTCAGGCTACCCGATTCGCTATGGAGCTAGAAGTGATTTATTGATAAGTGGGGCTTAACGTCTCAAAACCACCATATGATTATGAGAGACGCCATAGTGGAGGGCTCCGGAAATTTCGAACATCAGGGGTTCTTTAACGTGCTCCCAAATCTGAGCACACGGGCCTACAACATTCCCGCCTCCATCGGAAATGCAGCCGCCGCAGCCGGGATTCGATTCCGCGACCTGCGGGTCAGCAGCCGAGTACCTTAGCCACTAGACCACCGCGGTGGGGCATAGAGCTAGAAGTGCTAGATGATGTTATGTCAGCGTTCAAAAATAGATACGTAAAGCCAACTTATGTAAGTATTTGCCCTTCTGCATCGATGACGCTGATAACATTAGCTAAACTAAGAATAGGTGAGTGAAAGCTTTATCTCGTAAGTACAATTCTTGAGATTTGCGGCCTGGTTACCAACACCCATCTTCCTATGCAGCAAGATCAGATGAGCCTTGCTTGTAAAGCTTTGTGCTTTCATGAAAGCTGAACGTGTCGGTTGACTCACTAGTCCCTTGAAAGGAGAGATATAGGCACAGTGCACCTGCCTTTTGTTTACACTTTGCATAAGTACGGTAGTCTGGGAAACGCTCATATAAAAGTAAGATTGAGGTTACTTCGTAAGCATTCCTGTTTTGAACAAAACCATGCATGAATCAGCCTGTTTCGTATACCTTGAGCCATGTTATTGGGAAAATGCACGCAGAAGCCTTCCCGGCCAATAACATTCACAGGTAATGATGACAACCAAATAAACTAGGTGTTCTACTTGTTTCATTATATAAGCACGACTGCTTATGCTCTTTCCAACTTGTACCATAGACTGAGCGCAACGAAGTTGTGCGTTTTCTATGGCATCACGAAAAGCACTCAACTATGTGGAAGGAGTTCGCACACTTTTAAAGCTTTTACTAGGCTGTGAAAATTGCCCATTTATTCCGCAAATCGGATGGTTATAATGAATTTACTGACATAAAACAACCTGCAAAAATTTAATATTTTAAAAAATCCACACGAATTACCATTGTAAAGCTATCTGGGATTGATTCGAAAGCAATAGTAAAAACTGGCATGTAACTTATATAAAAGTATAAAAACAGAAACAATTTATTAGTCAGGACAATCAGCAAACTGATTATGACAACGTATTTACAGAGCCTGCTGAATGTTAATTAGTTTGGGCAGTAAAAAAATAAGAAAAAGAACACAGATATGCAACACAGCCTATGAGAAGAGGGACTCTACATTGGCCTAATCAAATATAGTCATAACTGTACTGTATTACGTAATCAACATGAAAAGTCTCATGAGTTTTGTGCTTTCATTAAAGGTTGTGCTTGAAATTCAAACGAGTCTTCTATGACTTCTCAGTCATGACGCCATTGAATTGTGTCCTTCCTAGTGCTTTTCGCTTGCCTCACTAGTCATTGTTATTGTTGGGAGCCTAGATGTGAAACTAGGCAGGAAACAAACCTGTTTACTTTTGGCTCATCTCGATGGCATGTTTTGTGTTCATGCCAGAAAGAAGTATAATTATTATTACGATTGTTATTATTATTACCGTTATAAAAATATTTATAGTATTATATCGCACAACAATGTAATAAGTTGAATATGAAAACAAATAATAGACATTTGCATACATTAGAAATAATTGTAATATATAATTACATTTGGTGAGAATAACAATGCCACATAAAAACTAAGAAAGTCGTATTTTCATTCCTATATGCACATCACGACTCTGAAAACGTGAGTCCGATTCCTTCCTCGGTAGTCACGTTTTGATGGAGGCAAAACGCTAATTAGCCACGGATGTACGATATCAGTACAGGTGAAAGCAACACTGATGATGGAAATTATCTGGAGCCTTTCATTAGGGCGAGTCACAGCCTGAATCGCTTTCATACATTAAACTGTACTGGCCAAACCATCCCGCAGATTAATAGAAAGAAGGATGGTTAGTGTCAAAAATATTTAGCTAGCCGTGCGTACCTTTGTGTTAGAAAAGCTGGCAACCTTTTATAGGAATGGTTTCTTACAAAAAGGGTACCAGAATCTTTGAGGAATGCCAATATTATCTTAATTTATAAGAAAGGAGTTGCAATGACATGAAAAAGTACGGGTCGATCAGCTTACTGTGTGTTCTCTGTAAACTATTTACAAAAATGTTAACTAATAGACGTAAGTCAATATTAGAGGTAATGAACCAGAGGACCAAGCAACATTTTGTACAGGCTACTCTACTACAGATGAAATTCATACTATCAGTCAGGTGATAAAGAAATGCGCACAATTCAACTATAGATAACCTTCATTGATTACTGGAAGGCATTTGACTGAGTCAAGACATCATCAGTGATGCAGAGACTACGTAATCAGGGCATCGACGAACCGTACATAGAGATACTGGAAGATATCTACAATGGATGCACAGCCACCATAATTCCCATTGAAGAAAGCGAGAGAATATCAATAAAAAATGGCGCAAAGCAGATAGAGACGTTCTCTCTAATGTCATTCACTGCGTAATTACAACAGGTTTTCAGGGCCCTAGATTTGGAAGAGTTAGAGATAAGAAATAATGGGAAGTTTCTTATAATCTGCGATTCACTGAAGACATTGTTTTGATGAGTAACTCAGGGGAGGATTTACAACTCATGAATACTTTATTTGGGCCCGGGAAGCAGAAGAGTAGGTCTGAACATTATTTGGCACAAAGCTAAAGTAATGGCAAGTCTCGGTAGAAAACGGCGCTTTGTGATAGGTGGAGAAACTGGAAATTGTGAAGGAATATGTCTATTCAGGGCAGGTAGTAACTGTGGAGCTGGACCAAGAGTTTGAAATAGCTAAAAGAATAAGAATAAGGTAGATAACACTCAGCCAGCATTCCCAAATCATGAATGGTAATCTGCCACTAATTCTTGAAAAGAAAGCTTGTCCCAGCTGCTTTTTGCCGGTACTTACCTACGGAACAGAAACCTGGAGGCTTACAAAGAGGGGTCAGCTTAAACTTAGGATGAGCGACGCAGTGAGCCATGGAAAGGAAAATGGTAAGGGTACCCTTGAGAGAAAGAAGGAGAGCCTGGTCAGTGAATAAATCGGGGTTAAGGATGTCATATTTGAAATCTGCAAGAAATGGACAGGGAGCGGGCCCGCAGTGCCTTGGCAAGATAACCGCGGGTAGCTAACGGTAACTGATGGTTCCCAGAGTAGACAAACGCACGAGCATGAGAGAGAGTTAGGTGGGCCGAATAAAATAAAACGTTTGCTGGTATAACGTGGAAGCAGAAAGCACAATACCAGGTTGATTGGCGAATCATGGGAGAGGCCTTTGCCCTGCAGTGGGCGTAGTCGGGCTGATGATGATGATGATGCGTACCTTTACGATCCCAATATCGTTACGGTTTGTCCAGGAGCTGTATTCTGCGTGGCCCAGCTTCTTGATGCCTTTTACCTTTTTGGCCCTACGCCAGTCAACATGTCCGTAGAGCACATCTATGCTGATTACTTCCTTACCCTCCCTGCAGTAAAAAATGAAACGAAAATAGCACATCCACTTAGTAGAACAATCAGACTGCCTTTTGTTTACAGCGAAATCAGTTAAAATATCCCAACTAGGGTCGCTTGCGCACCGTGGGTGTCCACCACCGCTACCACCATTGCTGCTTCTGCCACTTATGTCCGAAACCACTATCACGCGAAATAGGAAAACGAGCTCAGTAATTAAAAGTCCAGTATTCTATCTGTGAGCCGTTCCAGTGCTTGAATCTCACTTTCAATCTGGCTTCACATAGACTTGATATCAAAAAAACAATCACAATAATATTGGTGACTCATTTATGTATGCGATTTAACGTCCAACAACCACAATAATATCATGAGAGACGTCATGATGGAAGGTTGCGGAAACTTTGACCACCTGGAGCTCTTTAACGTGCACCCAAATCTTAACACATGGACCTACTGCATTTTCACCTCGATCAAAAATACAGACGCCATGGCCAGGACTCAACCCTGTGACCTGTGGTCCAGCAGCCGAGTACCTTATCAACTAGACCAGTGCGGCGAGGTGCATTATTATGAGTAATAAAGCATTTTAGAACAGCAAAGGAATAACCAGGTGTCGTATAATGCGAATTGCGCAACGAGTGAGTCATAAAATGCTACAACCCTTTGCGAAAACTTGATCTTGTTTATTTATTAACTGTGGCGTATAGCCACCGTGAGGCATTGTTACTACAAAAGCTTCTGGAATAATTCTTTATCGTCTTCAGCCACAGCACAAAGAAATTGCAAAACATCCCTTGAAAATACGTTGTGGGTACCACCCTTCTCCGAACAATGATGAGGAATGGAATAGTGAATGCCATATTACTACACAAATATTTATGACATAGAGGGTACCCTGCAAATTTACCTGCAGCAGCTGCCCGAAGATTAATAAAAAAGGCTCTGAAAGGCTGCTCTTCCACTTTTCGCTGTGATAGTGCTACGCATCACTCGCAGGCCTGACAGCTTTTAGCGTGAAACACTTAACCACTATCAATAGAACGGAAAACACATACTGTTTTGTATTAGCCTTAGGCACGTGGGATCTATTTTCGAAATCTCAAGTGCGAGAGAAAGCAATTGCATTGCCTAATAAGTGCAAGATTGTTCTGGAGTTTGGGTTCGTACGCTGTTGTCGTCCCATGCCGCTTGGCATCTCGCAGACTAAACCATCTAAGGCGTTACCATGCATAGTATAGGCATTTACACCAAGAAAGTGAGAGTGAGGAGTGGATTAAAGGTGAGAAGGACAAAATAGAGGGAGGCTGCATGCCACCAGAGTATAGTAGGAGGGAACAGGAAGTGAAGGTGACAGAACTCAAAAAAAAAAAAGAAATGGGATGGTACAGAAAAACACCACAGTGTGTATTACAGTATAACAAGAGAGTGTTAAACGAAAGTGGGAGTGAGGGAAATGAAAATAATGAGGAGAACGGTATAGCATCGTGTAACTTTGTAGGCTTTAGTATAACAAGGGGAGCGGTAAAAAGAAGCGAGTGTGAGAGAGAAAGATGTTTGGTTGAGAAGGAAAGAAAGAGGGTGAGAAAAAGGCATCACTGCATCACAAACAAAACCTTGATTTCCTGCTTTGGGCGCCAAACAGGCTTTAAGCTTGAAATTCCAGCGCTTGCGTGCCCTTGAACGCGAGCGTTGGTGAGAGATAGGTGAATTCCTGCTCAGGACTTTCGACAGCTTTCACTTCCAGTGCAGCGGCATAACTTTCTTTCCTTGTATCAGACTTGGTGGTAGGTTGACTCGATTGCCAAAATGAGTACATTTTCGTGACTATCCAGTAGTACTCTTACAATAAGACAGAGCAGAGCTAGATGGTAAAAATACAGCCTAAAGTAGAGGGCAGGCAGACAGGGACACAAGAAAGTAGTCAATACATCACAGACGCTGTAAAACAACCCCCGAATCACACAACAGTGGATATAAATACGACATGAAAACTTATCTGCGGACGCCCATGCATATATTGGACACTTCGTAAGTTCCAAAGTGTGTTTGGAGAAAGCGTGTTGCCAGTCAACTTAGTTTGCAATGTCTTTGTATTTTTTTTAAAGCTCTCGACAGTCACATAAGTGAAGAGGAGGAATGAGGAGATGAGACCACAATTCGCACTGTTCCGGGCTCTGGACGGACGGATGGTCGCAGTGAGTATGAATCAATAAAGGCTTTTGTTTTGGTAGGGTTAAACTATCAATCCAGCATGAGTGCGGGTGTATGTAACAGATAATTGTTAAGGTGTTTACCTTAATGCGAACTGTTTTCAAGTGAAAGCACGAAATATGGGTTGAAAGTTTTTCTACATGCACACACAGATATCTACATACAAACATACATACATACATACATACATACATACATACATACATACATACATACATACATACATACATACATACATACATACATACATACATACATACATACATACATACATACATACATACATACATACATACATACATACATACATACATACATACATACATTTACTGACGAGCTTTCAGATGCAGCTTCGACTTAGCGGCCATAAATGCGAGAACACTTGTGCCATTAGATTTAGTTGCAGAAATATAAACCTGATGCAGTAAAAATTAAAATTAAGTTTTCCACTGCAGCGTCCCTCAGATAGAGATATGAAGGTTATAGCATAGGGTGATTTTTCACATATAAAATAAAATGTCACTTTTTTTTTCGTTAGGCATTGTGCTAACTACACAGAGATAAGAAAGTTAGAGCGTAATGTAATATTTACCGCATAAAATAAAAAACCACTTCTTTTCAGTTGGCGTTATGCTAACTACATATTTACTGTTGGTCGAAATGGCTTTCCAGTCGGCACAATTAGCAAAACGAGAAGAGAAGTCACCTTCGCACAAAACACGAAGAAAAAAAAACGAGCACGAAATAGTCTGAGACAAGTAACTAACACCGTTGTCACGCAGCCGCTTTTTACTGCAGTTTGGCCTGATCCGAATCGACTATATAATTCGCGATTGTCATTTTTACGCGAGCTGCAGAAGTTTTAGGAATGCATTGTTGAGAAATTCGTCGTGGTTAGCGATGCACCATGTAACGCATGAAATAAACAGTCACCGTGATGTTTATATTACAAGGACTACTGCATTGACTCACACGTCGAAACAGTGGGCTGCTGTAAGCACGTGAAGCTTCGTTATGATGGTTCCGCCACATACGTAGTAATCTGGATCGCCAGCAATACGCATTTGCAGCTGAACCTAAACAAAAGTGAACGTACGTATAAAATCATCAGGCTTACATGTATAGAGACTGGAGGAAAGAAAATGCAGTTGTTTTTCTTACCATCCACGGAAACTGGTATTCGTTCGCTGGTTTCCCATTCACAATATAGCTAAGGACGTCAGCCTTACCGCAGTCTGAAATCAATAGGGCAGTGACCCTGGTAGACAGTTATGTATGTAATCTATGTGAACATAAGGTGGCTATAGTATTTAGGGTTTCACGTGCCAAATTATAACATGATCGTTAGGAACAACGTACGGTGAAGTGCTCCGAAAATGTCGACCTCTTTGGGTTCATTAACGTAAACCTAATTAAGCGCATGGCTCTGTTTTCGCTTCATTGAAAATCCCGCCGTCGTGGCCGCAAGAATAACATATGCTTTTCGGTTTTTCTTACATACAAGTGACAATCACGTATGTATCGCGTTCTGTACAAACTCACGTCGACTCTCCTCTGGAAAGTCTTTTGTCTCACGACACGCCTAAAGAGTCGCTGTCTGTAGACAGAATCGGTGTACCGATGTAAAAAGTGCTACACGTGTGACAGTCATATGTACAAGAGCAGGCTCGAAAATCAGAAAGTGTAGGTTTTCGCACGAGGTCAAAGGGAAATCGGGTGCCCCCCCCCCTTCTCTGATTACTTGAGGGTGACACCATGTCTGCACCATACGTCTACTCAAACGAACCTGGTCCATTACTGTTTGAAGAGCAGGCTGATGGCGGGTTGCAAGGTGCAACATCGTTTACGTCTGTATCAGAAGCTCGGTTTCTAGTGTGAGCAGAGAAGTGGACGAAGAAGATGCTCACGTTGGAGAGACACGGGTGCGTGCTGGTCGAATGTGAGGCGCCGCTTAGCCTGCGTGACTTTGCTGTTCGTGGTAATGAAGTAAATCATCTTTATTTTCAGCAACGTCTCCTGTCATCAACATTGGTGGAGGCATCAGGCCATGCAGTTTTTGGACACTAATGACAGGGAGGACCCCTCACTTCGGAATCCAGGAGCTATTTACTTCTGAGTCTCACCCTCGGAAATCCAGGAACCAAAGACACATTATTATGGTAAGGCCGTCTTTGCGTCGTTTCCCAATTGCATCCAGTGGAAAGTTGCTTTTCCTTCTAGCTCAGCAAACAGTAGTGGGAGAGAGGCAGCGGTGAGGTTTCCTAACCCCTTAATGGGGACCCTGCGCAGGCCTATAAGGTTTGGTGTTGTAATTAATGAAATGCAGACATTGTAAGGCGTCTGAACTGTCATAGCTTTCAAGTAGTTGTGGGTGTAGGAACTATAGCCAAACCTTGTGAAAGCGAATGGGGCGGTAAGTACAGAGCAGCCTTAATTTAGTCACCGTAAAATTGTGCCGTACTGTCAAGTTTCTTGATGGTGACACTTTTAGGCTGATTGAAGAAGCCATAGCAACCCTGTGCGCTGAGCAGAGTTGACAAAATTTGACCGTGTCGAGAATTCGAAAGCAACAGCATTCAGGACCTCTTTTGTTTACCGGGTCAAAAAACTTGCTACTGTGTTCCCATCGGTCAGTTGACTTGGGAAGTAACACAATAGGTATGATGTTTGCATATATAAAACTCGTGAGATTGTATCTACGTATGCAGGCGCACCAACCGGAATCTTTGTTTTTATAAAGTTTAGCGTCCCAAAACTATGACATGATTATGAGTGACGCCTCAGGAGAAAGCACCGGAAATTTTGATCTTGTAAGGTTCGTTAGCGTGCACCTAAGCCTAAGTGTACGGGTCTCGAGAATATACACTCTCATTGAAAATGCGGCTGTCACGGCCGGGGTTTGTGATCCTACGGCCTGTAAATCAGCGCTGGAGAATCACAACCATTTAGACCACCATGGCGGGGCATCCAATAAAGTTACTGTCTTTGCAGTGTTTATTATTTTGACGGCTGTCAGAAAACTATGCTCGCTCAACTGCCTAGTCTGATTTAGTAGAGGACAAAAGCAGATGCAAATTATTGCGTGTCAGAGGCATAGTCTCACTTTCTAGACATGGCTTACACATTTTACTGCAGTAGTCAAATGGCAAAAGAGCAATTGTAAGTGCTCGTAGTTTCAGTAAAATGTATCGATGAAGTAAAATGCATGTCTTCAGGCAAAAATATACGCTTAACGATGTTAAATATTTTTTATCTTGAACAGCTTGTTCGGAAGCACGTTTTTATTGTCGATATGTTAAACTTTATTATCAAACTATAACTTATGGTCTCAAGACATGAATAGGGATTCCGTACAAATGAAAATAAAAATATCGTTCGGCATTGGCTAATTGTATTAAACTTCTATAATTAAACGTGACAAATAGAAGTTTTTACTATAAATGCCACACCTGTGGCCCATGATGCGGCGAGTTGGTTTGCCTTGCAACTTTGAAAATATTCAATATTTTATGGCGTATCAAATCAATGCGAAAACATTCCCTATCAGGTAGGACCTTTTTTTCTTCTCGTGACAAAGAGCCATTACTTACCCGTAGGATTTAACTGCACTTTTTCTGAAGCAACCTGAAAAATTGTTTGCGCAACTTGTTTTGTGATAATTTCAGTAAGACGCATTATCACCGAGCATACATACGGCACGAAATATCTATAAAAAACATATGGCGGTATCTAAAAAAGACAGTTTGGTTACAACCTTAGAAACAAAAGATAGGACAGGTAAACTGCTTTGGATTATGTGTTTAAATTTAAGTGAAAATAGAGCCTCATGTTCGAATTTCTTGTTTGCGGGTAACCTAGATCAAGGTCTTGGTATAAAACTATGATGCTAGTTACATATCTGCTTGATTTTATTGAAACTGAAGATCTGGGAAAATATGTTGCCGAGATTCGGGTCAGCATTCACAGTCCACATTGATGTATTGTTCTTATCAAAACATTAAAAAACACAACGACACTCATATCTATGGTAATACCGAAATGGGCAGTCGCCTCAGAGAGAAATGGCTATAGTTGCACTTGTAACTGTCCGAGAGCCCTTAACGTACTTTTACAAAAAATCCACGTTATTAAACAGCATCTAAGAAATCACATTTAACAATTTTATTACCATAGTTTTGTTTCTCCTAGTATAACTAGCACACATGGTATAATTCGCTGTGCTTTTTGTTATTTTTATGCTTTCAATTTTTACGGAACGTGCAAACGTAGCGTTCAAGGTTAAATAAAGCCCACAGCTTAGATCGAAATTGATAACAAAAGAGCGTACTGGACCTTCACTAGGAATACAGGTATTTTAAAATTTTATTATTTCGAAGGAAGAAATAGCTACGAATTTTGTGAAATTAATTAGTAACGCTACTCACCGAAAGACAAAGAAGAAGAAATATTATTAGTACCCACGAATAGGTCATGCTGAATTCGCACTTTTTTGTTCGTAGTCCTTAGTTCCCTGCGTTTGTGAATTGACATACCAAAAATAATATATATATCCTCTTTAGTTACAACAAAAAAAAATTGCTCAATGACATCCTCACAAGGGCAGGCCAATGTAAGAAGAAATATAGGCGGCAGTAAATTTGTGTTTCTGCGTATGCTTCACAAGTAAAACACTCGTAGTATGAGAAACGAAAGTAATAGAAATTTGTATATGGTTTGTCTATTTTAAAGCATGGGATATAAGCCCGACTGCACAAGCAAAAAGTGTAGTTAGTTATGGCGTACCCGTGAAATGCTTTTTTTCTTCTTGATGTCACTCAGTTAGAAACATCCGAATTGTATAATCATGGCAAATAAAGGCTGAGTGAGGAATATGAATAGTAGTATTTTAGTATTTGAATGCGTACATTGCAAGGATTTGCGCTGGACGCAGAGTTGAGAAGGATGTAAAGAATATTTTTGGAAAAGTTGTAGTAGAGAGGGGTGTCTACATATATATATATATATATATATATATATATATATATATATATATATATATATATATATATATATATATATATAATATATATATATATATATATATATATATATATATATATATATATTATATATATATATATATATATATATATATATATATATAGTATATAATATATATATATATATATATATATATATATATATATATATATATATATAATTCTGACACCTTTAAGAGCAAATACAATAACGGGTATCTCGACGTAAATGGATTATGGTTGCACTTTAAGACGGCCGCGCATGTATTAACAAATATGTCCGACAAAAACAAAGAAAAATTAACCACCAAAGCCCGTGGATAACGCGTGACATCATTCACTCAAAACATCGTGTTGAGCGTCTTTCCCAGGCGCCCAAAACGCCTAACGTGTTACCTTCCCTAAGGGCCGTCCTACGGAAAAAAATCAAAGAATCAAAGTATCACTTTTTTAATGTTAAGCTGCGCGGCTTTCTTGCCACCGACCCTAAGAAGTTCTGGACTCACATCACCCAAAAGAAAGACCCAGTTGGCAAAATTAAAATAAATGACTTGGTGGTGTCCGATGCCTGCTCGATAGCAAGGCCTTTTAATGCTTTTTTCTCGTCTGTATTTGTACGTGCAACCCAGAGCTGCATCAATTTTAATATTCCTGGCTTTGACATTACCGATATAACTATTACCGAGCGAGAATATTTTCGGCTTTGCTCAACCTTGGCTCTAGAAAGCCCGCAGGTCCCGACAGAATACCAAACGCATTCCTTTACCGGTATGCTGAGTGGTGCTCGAAATACCTTTACATTATATTTACTGAAAGTCTACTAAGTGGTGTGGTTCCAGACGATTGGAAAACTGCAAAAGTTACTCTTGTGCATAAATCCGGTGATAAGCTCTCTGTAAAAAAACTACAGCCCCATGTCCCTTTTGTGTACAGCCGGTATAATTTTGGAGCACTTTATATTCAAACACCGAATAACGTATCTTGAGAGCAACATGTTTTTTACGAGCAATCAACATTGTTTTAGTCGTGTATTTTCCACGGTTACACAACTAATACACACGACTAACGACATTTCAACCGTTTTAGATAAGGGTGGTAGGCAAATTGACGCTATATTCTTGGATTTCGAAAACAGCTTTCAATCATGTGTCCCATAGCAACCTAATGTAAAAAATTCGAACCTTGGTCAAAAATCAGAAAATAACTCAGTGATTGGACTCCTACTTATCAAGCTGGTATCAGTACGTTCAAATAGGTGACTCTGCCTCAAGCTTGTCATCAATTGTTTCTGGAGTCCCACAGGGCTCTGTCTTAGGTCCGTTGCTTTTCATTATATTGTTACGTCTACGAGGGGTTCATTCGAAGCAGACGTAACGGTCGACTCGACGGTATACCGCAGTGAACGCGAAGCAGCGAGCTCTTGCCACCAACCGAACGTCCTCTTCTTCTCCTACCACCGTGTTCCCCGCTACACAGGTGCACATACCTAAATTACACATGTGGTAACACTTCCCTCCGCGCAGACGAAGCCCACTGGGCGAGTCAAACAGTCTCTCGAGGAATAAAGCGCTTCAAACGTGCAACATGGACAAGTTCAGTTTTTGCAGACCATCGGCCGTTTGAATGGAGACGTGCTCTGCGGTAAACTAAATCACTGATACGGTCTACAACAACATAAGGTCCCGCATAGTGCGCTAGCAGTTTCTCGCTCAAACCGCGTTTTCTAGTTGGTGTCCACAGCAACATTAGGTCACCGCGATTGTACGTCACGTGTGGGCGTCGGAGGTCAAAATGTGCCTTCGAGCGATCTTGCGAAGCAAGAGTGCGCAAATAAGCAAGGCGTCTAGCTTCTTCTGCCCGACAGATGATCTCGGATATGCAGGGATCATGGGGGTCCAAACACGGGAACATGGTATTCAGGGTATGACGAGGTGGTCGAGCATATAGAAGAAAGAAAGGACTGTAGCCGGTAGTTTCATGCTGAGTGGTGTTGAATGCATATGTGATAAACGGTAGAATACTGTCCCAGTTCTTGTGATCGGATGCAACATACATGGACAGCATGTTCGAGAGAGTTCTGTTCGTTTGTTCAGTTAGACCGTTCGTTTGAGATGGTATGGCGTAGAGTGCCGAAACCTTGAAGCACAGACACGAAGCATCTCTTCCATCACGTCTGCTGTGAATTGTCGGCCACAGTCACTGATTACGATTTTGGGAGGTCCATGCCGAAGAATTACAAAACGTAGCATGAAGGAAGACACATCGGCTGCAGTGGCCAATGGTATGGCAGCTGTCTCGCAGTACCGTGTTAAATGGTCGGTGCAAACGACTATCCAGCGATTTCCATCAGAAGACCGGGGAAAGGGTCCAAGGAGGTCAATCCCGACTTGCTCGAATGGAGCTCTAGGGGGTGGCACCGGATGTAATCACCTTAAGGAGCACTTGTTGGGCGCTTATGACGTTGACACTCGTTACAGCTAGACACGTATTGTACCGTCGTCTGGCGCATTTTGGGCCAGTAGAATCTTTCTTGAAGACGGCACAGAGTTTTCGCTGTGCCTAGATGACCGGATGTTGGGTCATCATGCATAGCCTGCAAAACATAAACGCGAAGACTCTTTGGAACAACCAGAAGATATCGTGATCCGGTGTTGGTGTAGTTCTTTTTGTAAACTAGCCCGTCTCGGATGCAGAAGCGCGTAGGCGATGATTTTGGTTTGGTAGCAAGAAGCTGTTGTATGGTGCTGTCCCTTTGTTGCTCATCCTTAAAGGTCTTGTTATCGGGAAATGGTTGGTCGAGTGATGCAATGTAGGTATCGAAGGTGTCCGCGTCACATTCCATCGTTGGAAGCGGTAATGGCGAATGACAATCTGCGTCAGCGTGACGTCGGCCGCTTTTATAGGAAACCGTGAAGTCATATTCTTGTAGACGAAGTGCCCAGCGCGCCAGCCGACCAGATGGGTCACGCAGGTTGACCAACCAGCAGAGAGAATGATGGTCTGTCACGACGGTAAAGGGGCGTCCGTACAGGTAGGACCGGAAGCGCGGCACTGCGAAGACTACTGCAAGGCATTCTTGCTCTGTGACAGTGTAGTTACGCTCGGACTTGCTGAGCGAGCGACTTGCATACGCTACGACGTGTTCTTGATTATCCAAGCGTTGAACCAGGACAGCACCTACACCAATACCGCTGGCGTCTGTGTGAATCTCAGTGGGAGCGAGAGGATTGAAGTGTTGAAGAATCGGATGGGATGTCAAAAGAAACTTCAACTCCGAAAAAGCAGACTCGCATTCCGGGGTCCAGTCAAACTGCGCACCTTTCTGAAGTAGACACGTGAGCGAGTATGCAATATTGGCAAAGCCAGGAATGAATCGGCGAAAGTATGAACAAAGCCCCAAAAAGCTGCGCAGTTCTTTCACCGAGCTTGGCTGCTTAAATGCCTCCACTGCGGCCGTCTTGGCGGGATCCGGTCATATGCCTTCTTTGTTTACTAAGTGTCCAAGGACGAGTGTTTGGCGCTCTCCAAAACGACATTTCTTTGAGTTGAGCACCAAGCGTGCTTTGCTTAGACAGTCCAGTACGATGTCAAGGCGTGT